GTCGAAGATGGATTTTTTCGCCGGGGCTTTCTTTCTTGTGACGTCGCTCTTCACCCTGACTTGGTCTCCTTCTTCCTCATCTTCATAGTCTTCTTCTTCTTCGGACTCCTCGTACTCATCTTCGTAAGCACGAACATCGTCGAAGTCTACGGGGGAAATTGATTAGTGGAAGGGGCTAGTTTATCCGAGGATCGCTCAGATACGCTCGAATGCTGTAAATCGAATCAGGACTACGGATATGGACATACCAAAATCTCCTCCGAAAATATCTTGAGCCTCTTGCAAAGCACTGTCCGAAAATTTCACATGTCGCTTCTTTTTTGGCTTGGCGATTGGCCGGCCCTCGTCATCGACGATGAAATCATTAACATCGTCATCAGACGCGGATTCCGATCCGAGGTCTTCCTCCTCCAAGGCCTCGGCGACCGGCTCCGCTTGTCCTTCCTCTCCATCTTCAAACAATTCCTGAGCCAGAGCATCTTTGTCCTTCTCCTTATCCTCTTCTTCGTCATCATCCAGGACCTTCACGCGTTTGAGCTTGCGTTTCCGTTCAACTTTACAGCCGAGATTCTCTTCGATAAGGTCGTAGTCCTCGTCTTCGAGGTTATCGTCGAAGTCATGATGTCGACGTTTCTTCGATTCTCGCTGGCTGTTCGCCTTATCTCCATCTTTGTCCTCAGTTGCGCTCTCCTCGCCAGACGATGATGATGGAGAAGAGCTGGACGACGAGCTCGACGAGCCAGGGGAGCCTTCGACCTCCTCTTCATCATCGTTAATGAGATCTTTCATCTCCTCCTTGATTCTATCGTCATCATCTTCCTCCTCCTCTTCGTCGGAGTCACTTTCGATGGTGGCTTTCTTCTTCGACGTTTTCTGGCTCGAGGACGCGCCGTCGTCTTGAGTCTGCTCCTCCTCCTCCGAGCTCACCTCAGCCTCACTTTCAAAGAAATTGCTCATCTCGCTCGTTCTTATCGTTGGCGTGGATCACCGGTAAGCTCAGAAGCTTCGGATCTGTAAGCGAAAGCTCGATACCATGAGAATGAATTCAATCGCGTTATAGTGCGCAATGACTGAACAGCTCTCATTTCGCGTAACCTGGCACAGATATGCGACCTCCGGAATGGCTCTCTACGTTCAAGATCCGGACAAACTACTTGATCGGAATGACTACTGCGAACAACTCGCGTCTTCCTCTCAAGATCGGACAACAGATCTCGGAAACCTACTCATCATCCTTATCATGACTTACGCGACTCGTGTCAATCTGACAGCGATGTATCTCGACAATAACGAAGCGGTATATGTCCGAGGGACTGAGTTCCCTTTTCACTTTTTCAGAAGGGATCGAAGCGTTACTCCCGATCGTCAACAACTGCACGAAATCGTCTAGACATGTCCCGGAAATGTTTCAGCCGGAGACATTGCCATTGGGCTTCGAGAATTCAGACTCGTAACGTTAACTCTGAGTGGATGAGTGTTCTCAGCCCGGATACCTGGGCACGATTCGCAACATAGCGGAATTGAAACCGGCCCATAGAATTCTGATCCCACTTTTGTTTTCGATGGCGCCGTCTCCCAGACACTCGCTCAATCGCTTTCTGTATAGAAATCCACTGTGATCCGTCGCGCGCGCTCAGCTTGTTCGATCGCACGATGGGTACGATGTACGATCTATTCCGCGACTGTGTGTCTCCTAATAACTTTCATCAGAATGTATTTGAAGATTTTCATACCGATTGAGCTGGGGATGCGGAAGCACTTATCTCCCGTGTCAGTGCCACGAAGCGCTCTTGTTGGATACTGAAGGGGATTAGTTCCTGTGCAGTCAGTCTTCTTGAAGAAATTTTCGACACTCGAAGCAATCTTTCGGGATGGAGCTAGGTTTTGAGGCACGAAACTCACTGCCGAGTATCTTAATCTGTATGGGTGCGCTCCTATATAGCCATGACCATGAAGCACCCCCCAAACGCTCTCTCCCTCTCTCGGGTTCACTATAAGGCTTTCCGAAATCACTCGCTCATAGAACGCGGAGCCCCACATTCCGGAGAGAGTTAATGACTTTCTACGACGGTGGATTCCTCAGTCAATGATCTTTCAATTGGGTGGTCTCCTCCGCGACTCACGAGAGGTCTCTCTCCGTAATCAGATCCTAGCGAGAACGAATCGCAATGCGATTTCGAAATACCTCGTGGATCGAAGAGACGATGAACATTCCGCAGCATGTATTCTCCCCGAAGGCGCTATACAAACCTAACATGCAAAGTCGCCGGGGTCTGTCGCGAAGTTGACGCATGTAGTTTCATTGAGAGATATTCTGATTCGTAGACCATTCAGCTGGATCTCTCCCTCTTTCTTCTTAGTCTCGGTAAATTCGTCGCAGACGCACGACAGTCTGTCGCAATCAACGGAGGCAATACAAGACTTAATCCAGTGCTCGAGACTCGTCGCGGTATGTCTCGGAGGCGCGTTCGCTTAAGGAACGATCCTCATCTCACATATTGGCTGAATCGTTGCTCAATATGATGAGCCCCGAAAGCCGCGGAACGGGTTCATTGGCCTCCACGAGTTACTATCCAGTACCCGGGTTTTCCCTTTATTCTCGAATCTCTTCTGTTTCATCACATACGCTGCCGAGAATGTCGAGATCTTCTGTTGTCCAATCAATCATTCCTGATTGCGTGAATTTGGAGGAGATCTGAAATAGCGAATTTTGTCCTGCGTATGGACAGGGCTCTGTGCCAGTATCGACCTGATATCCGCTCCGCTTGTGCGAGATTGCAACGAGCATGGCGTGTCTGTCGATATAGACGGGTATCAGACGTGAAAAATCGTCGTGCAGCCACCTGGGGAACAATACGCTTGTCGAGTCATTCTCCGAATCGAGTCAAACACACCCAGAATCTTATACATTGG